CCGTTTTTTTTTTTTTTTTTTTTTTTTTTCGTTTGAATACATTTGTGCCTCCAATGAAAGTCGCGGCCTATCGTATTCGTAAAAGTATAGGCTGGGCACGCGTGGGTTAATATTACATGCTAACAGCTTCCTACTAAGAAGTTCTAAAGAATTATCCTGCTGGAGATAATATCGATGAAATGATTAAGATGCGCAAGCTTTAGGAACGGCTTCTGTGTCAAAAGGATGATAATCCAAGAGGAAGAGCCTGCTATTCTATCGTATTCTTCGAGCTGATCATTAGATGCACAAAGAAAATGTGGCTAACTCGCATTAAAATGGTCATTGAATACGAACACGAGGACATTTAGCGATGTCTTGCACCTGCCTGGCGCCTTCAATGTTTAATTGCGCAACATTGTAAAATATCATTGAGCTAGTAACGGAGCAGCAGACGGTTTTCCAAAGGTCATTGGAGTCACACTTGTTTCTGAGTTACTCTTGACTCGTCGCTCCTTCCTTCTCATAATATATGTATGCACGTTTCACTTAAAGCGTAACTGCATCTAATCATTAATCTTTGACCTAACTCGCAAACAGTAGCTGCCTCTTAAAAGATCGATCTAGCAGCTGAACTAATGCGGATTTTCTCTGTGCTTTTATTGTTACAGAAATAACCGATCCGTGCACGAAGATGAACTGTTCGCTAGGATCGCATTGCGTCCGGAGTCGCGACGGAAGTGAAGCCCGGTGCGAGTGTCTTGAGTCCTGCCCAAGTTTGGGCGACCACGAGGGATCAGGACCGGTCTGCGGCACCGATGGAGTCGACTACCCGAACCTCTGCGAATTGAATCGGACTGCCTGCACCAGGAGTGCCAACATCAGTGTTGCCTTCCGCGGAAAGTGCGGTAAGTCGTGAAACCTCAAAACCTGCTGCGGATGCGGATATGGATGTCGCTGTGGCTGAGGTGGTTTGGGCGCCTTAGGTGGCCACACCAAAGCGATCCTCTATACATATGAAAGAAAGTATAGTGACGTGTTTCGTGTGTGAGATCTCAACTGCGAAAGGGCGACAACCATAATTCACACGTTCTATTTGGCATATTCTATGGTGCATGCAGTACTGTGACGCTGCACGTGCATTGTGCCTGAGCGGGTGTGCGCGGGGGGAGAGGAGAGATTATATACGCGAAATATATCGACGTAATATATTTTCAATATCGAACAGCCCTCCATTCGGGGCTTGTTTGGGCTATATGGCTTTTTAAAGTGATTTCTCGGACTTTAAGCACAGCACGTAGAATCTGATCCACGTATTTTCTCGTATAACTGTGTACATACTCGTGTGGCAAGATTTTGGATAATATTCTAAACATAATTTTTATACACCAATCTCTTTCTTGATTGACTGTAACTCCAGAAACTGAAAGACGGCGTCTTTCAGGCAGACGTTGATAAATTATGACATCTGGCTGTGTATAAACTGGAAGAGGATTGAATCGCAGACGCAAGTTGGTATTGGAGTCGAGAGTGTATCAAGGTGTCTGAAGACATCGAGACAGAGCCAGAGATATTCTCAATTTACCGTCTGACTCGGCACATGCTCCAACCACTAGTTCTGTAGCAAAAAAGAAACACCTCTCTCTTCCTCCTACACATTCGATCTCTCTATCCTTTTCGTTCTTTCTCCCTCTCTTCCTCTTTCCCCCGCTCACTGTCTCTCTCTCTCGCTCTCTCTTTCTCTCCATTTATTTATCTCTATGTCAGTCTCTCACGAGCCAGTCCTCACTCTCATCACATTAATACGTACAACTCGCTTCTTAACACTTTCCATCTTCCTTCCTCGCTTCTCACATAGACACTTCAGTCGAATGCAGTGCAAACTTAGAAGGCGTTTAATCAAGCAAGTAGTAAAGACAAATGTTTGATCAGCCAGGTAGGGAGGCACTATTTACTTAGGATTAAGTCCTCGGCGCTCTGCGCAATGGCTATGGTAACGGCAATCGACGTAGGCATTGGCTCGTTAACGAGTCGATTAAGCGCTTCCGGGAATTAATTATTTCGCCCGATGGACGATCGTCGACTATTCCTGGGTGCCCAAAGAGGAGACTTAAAATCAGAATAGGTTCTAGGCATGCAGCCAGTAACTCGGCCAGCTAGATAGCTATACTAACCACTAATGTTGCAAAACCACCCACCGACCCCCCCCCCCCCTCATCCCACCCTCTCTAACGTGCAGCTAACCCGTTCTTCATTAATTCTCAATTAGAGAGAATGAAGCGAGGATGAAATTCGGATTAGCCAGAAAGTACGAAAATATCAGAGAATACACAGGAAACAGAGTGAACCTTCTTTCTCTTATTTTCCATTTTCGTCTCGATTCGGAAGGAACGCGACTTCCTGAAGCTTCAACCCTCAACCTTCAACCTTCTTCTTTCTCCTCCAGGGAGTGGTGTGGCTCCTTCCGCCACTCTCTTCTCCCTCTCTTTTGGTGCTCTTATTATACACGTGGAACAATGAAATGTAATATCCAGCCGGGAGCATTCTCTTCCTGCTGAAATATGGATTGAATGGCCAGTCTAACAATGCCCTTTATCAATTGGTGCCAGTTTCCCTCTTGGCCCTTTTAAACGTCCAAATCAATAATAAATTCGTGTGATTAAGTATCGCGCGCCGACGGACGCACCTGGACTGACGTGGCTGGACTGGCGCTCCAACACGAGACGCCAATTCCCGGTCCACTAAACTACGGTAGCTGACGATATTCTCGATGTTCAAAATATCAGCCCCTTGTTGTAGTGTCGAGAGTAGATGAATTCCTAATGAACCCGAAAGGCCAGAGGCGATGGATCAAGTTTGGCGTCTTGCGATGTCGAGCGTCGGACTTCAGTTATTATAGTGAATTAAAAAAGAAAAGAGATACACAGTATCGAGCTACTTTTCGAACTTGACTGAACAGAAATGTTTACCTCCGCGTCTGTTTCTATGAACAGCAAAACGAGCCAGTCTGGTTCTATTCACCTTCCGGAATCTAACAGTTCAGGCTCGAATGGACTCGCAGCATTCTCAGCAGCCACCCTGTCCTGTGCTATACCTGTCCAACAATCCAGTCACTTTCTCGCTTGAGTCATCTCAATACGCTCGAACATCTCAATATATATAACAGTCTTTGATAGACGCAAGTAACATTACTATTTTCTCACGGTGATTAACTGGGCAGGAAGTCGTGTTTGACACTTCCATGAGCTTCCTCGAAGAGCTGCTTCTTGCTCCGCAAGAAATAGTACAAGCAGGCACGTATCCGAACCCATACGATTTTATTATATTTTACAATACACTAGAATAATAATGAAAAGAGAAAATCAAGAGAAATAATTGCAAAAGAATGAGAAGAGACCAAGAGAAAAACAATAAAAGGAAAAAGGAAAGTGCAGAGGATATACTCGCTAAGACACGCTTCGGAAATCCAAACTCTGGCAAGAATTGTTTCGATATTATTTTGCGAAGGAAACATCCTGCAGTGCACTATGGACTGGTTAAAGATAAGCGAAAGAAGGAGAGGAAAGTAGGATAATGGAGCAGAGAAAGAAGGAAACATCGAATAGGAGAAATCGAAAGGCAAGAGCACTTAAGTATGCGGAACTGGGAGATTGTAGAAATGAGAATATATAAAGTGAAATTCGTAAAGTTTGTGAGTGGCTGCAGCCCGGGGATAGATGAGCCACTAGGTAGGGCCACTTCGACTAAGTTCCCATTTTCGAAATTGTCGCTGACGTCAAGGAGCGACGATGCATTTTTACTAGTTGGTCAACGAGCCATCTTAGTTCCTCGAGTTCAGGGAGCAAAGAGGAATTCGAGAAATTGAAGGCAAGTAGGTTACAGCAAGCATAAATCAACCGAAAGCAGCAGGATGCAGTTAACATTGAGCCCTATGATTGCTGCTTAAACATAACGCCAAGCGGGACGCTGGCTTTAACACTGCAGTCTCTATGGACATAGAGACCGAGATGCAGTCTGCGCGTGTCCGCCTATAAACGGGACTACACTACTGACAGAGATGTTATTCGTCACAAGAAACCAGTAGAGCTAATTCTTAACTATCAACCAGTTTGATTTCGTGCTTCTGAGCAAATACTTTCCGGGGGTCTTGACTGGCGTAAGTAAAAACAGCCTTTCTATCTTACAATTAGTTTCACGCCATGTTATTATTCCCTTGAGAAAGTTATTCTTTCGCTGAACTCAAGGAGAGGAGAAAAAATGCGAAACTTGGACAGTGGTTTGAAAGATTAGGCCGTGATGGACGGAAATGTTGAAAAAAACTGACGAGCGGATTGAGGTTGCGCTCGGAAAAGAACTCGATGAAGCTTAGCGGCGGACTTTACAAACAATTGGCCTCCGGCGACGCGGGAATTTTAAAAACACTTTTATCGCTTTTTCAGTCTGCTTTTGTACTAGGTATTGCCCGGGGCTCGCCCGTTCTCTTTGTCTTTCGTCTTTTTTTTTTACGCCGACTCTTCCGCGTCCCTCCGTTTTTTCATTTTTTTCACTTTTCCTCCTATTCCTCCCTCATTACGTCACAATAACCAAACCTGAAGTTGAATTCACCTCTGTTCATTTAAACAAAATTAGGCCACTCTATTTACTCTGTAACGAAAAAAAAGGTCTCAGTGAAAAAGATACCATAAAGTAAAAAATATTATAAGCAGATCCTTAATCATATCTTTCGAATGAGTCGTTGAAAGTTGTCCAAAAGATAATAAGCAGGCAATAGAATTACTATAAGAAGGAGAGACAGAGAAGACGAGGCTTCTAGAAGTGCCAGAGCGCAGGAAGATGTAAACGCGAATGATATAACAATATAAGCATCGCAGAAGTTGAATGAGGAAGTTTGGTAGTGAATGGTTCAAATCCATAGAATGAATTCTCCCTATTTATCTAATCAGTGCGTCGATATAAAGAGAGCGGCGTTAGGGTAATGTTGCGTGAAGCGATCGCAGGCAAGATGCTCGGCGGCGAGACGCTGCATGCGCTGTATTTATCAAAATCCTGAAGAAATTTCGAAACAAACCAGCCCGGGGAATTCCATTAGGTATCTTCGGCATGGCTGATCGGCACCAGGAACTGGGGCTGTGCGAGAGATACGATACGAGTTCCATGTAGTCCGTTAGTAATAGTCGAAGGTAGAAAGTAGAAAGCATCGAGAATCAAGCAGGAGACCCTTGTGGCCCTTTCACCGTATCACCCTTCCACCCTTCCACCCTTCGACCCTTCCACCCTTCCACACTTTACCGTCCTTGCTTCGGAGTTTAGCCGCTCCACTGGACTGTAACTTAAGCTAACCCGAGAAACAGCACCTTCCGCAGTTGCCTCGTCAGCCTCGTCAGCCTCGTCAGCCACGGCACTTAACGACCGAATTCTCTCGAACCCACCGCCATCGCAGCTACCATCACTGGTAGCAGCACCATCAACACCACCAGAACGACCAGCCTTGGACTACCGACAGGAAACAGAATCCAGCTTCCTTCCTTTCTCCGAAGATTGATCTCACCCAACGATATCGGCTGTTTACGCTTAGCCGCAGACATTACGGAATTCTTTGGAGACTGCTCGACCCAAACCTCGACGATTTCTCCGTAGAAAAAAAAATCCAGCCGAACCGATCCTCAATTTAATCTCTTTTGTCGCAGATCCCTGCGCAGGCGTCGAGTGCATGGAACCGGAAATTTGCCAGTTGGACTCGTCGAGGCAGCCAGCCTGTCGCTGCGGCGAAACCTGCGGACTTGAATTTTCGCCCGTTTGCGGTAGCGATGGGAAAACTTACTCCAATGAATGCAGCCTCAGGCAGGAAGCCTGTAGATCTCGGTTACCTCTCAGGCAGATCTACATAGGCGCCTGCAGTTCCGGTAATAATTTCAATAATAATATTAATCGTCGATCCCTCCTGCATCCTACGTCTGACGTTTTACGTCTACATGTGTGCGGGTTCTGCGTTCTGCGTTCTGCACCTAAACATACCACCTGGCAAAAGAAGTTTCAATGAAAGAGACCAGGTGGCAAATTAATTGCATAGACGACACTGGATAACAGTACAGTTTAGCTTTAACGTCGTCTTTCATACGAGTGTGGGAGGTAAACGAAAGGATACCTACGTTGAATCACAGAAAAAGAGCACATGTAACGTGATTAAAATTGTAACATCAGGCAAAGACATGTGAAAGGGTAAGAGGAACATCTTCTTGTTTCAGGTATCAATCCTTGCGATGGCGCCCAGTGCGGGTCGGTTCAACAGTGTGCGATCGATCGTTATGGAATCGCCAAATGCGAATGTGGCCCAGAATGTGAACCTGTGATGAGACCAGTCTGCGCCAGAGGAGGCACCACGTTCACCTCCTTGTGTGAACTCAAGAGACGAGCTTGTCTTACCAAGACCGACATAGAGTTTGCGTACACGGGAGCTTGTGGTTCCCGTGGTCCATGCTCCGAGAAGGTAGAAGATGATCAGTATTTGCAGATCAGTCTGTTCAATTATCTTAACAGGAGAATCAATGGTTTTTTACGCAGAACATAATGGTGACTCTTTAGATGTCAGCCAGGTGCTCTTGAATTCAATGAAAATATTATTTAATCTCAAGATTTATTTTTTTTTATAACGAATATTATTTTTCTTCTATTCTCTATTTCTTTCGGTAACTCGTCTCGAGATATCCTCATCTGAACTCGCACTCATTATCTCACTCGACACTCACTCCTAATGATGATCATCGAACCGCCATTATCGGAAACCACGATTTCGTAGAAATAACGAGAGCAGATATTCCCGTAGAATTGAATCTCCCCGAAGCGCATTGCCATGCCATGCAAAGCCATGCTATTCTAACCAGACCAGAATTACAGATAAATGTAGAACGCAAAGCGGAGGGTGGAAACTGGAGTGCGATGTAGAGTTAGACTGCAATCGTTAAAGCGCAAAACTCGATTGCGGCCAAGTGCAGCTTCACCGACAGTCGCGCACAGAAATGACGCAAGTCAAGGAGAACCGAAAGAAGAATATATTTATATCAATATAAGGATGAATAACGAGAACGTAACAGAACGGAAATATCTGTACTATCGTATCACAAATTTGCATCGAAATTTCAGAGCACCCGACTGATTATTCAAACTAAAGGAAAACAATGATTCTCGCTTGATCGGCACTATTGACCTTAATAAGCGGCATTTCGAGATTGCTCACTAATTTTGTCTGCAGGTTTGCCAATGGGGAGCCGTTTGCGCCGAAACCGGTGAGACTGCAATTTGCGAATGTCCGACCTGTCCAGCGGAATTTCAACCGGTTTGCGGGGACGACGGGATCAGCTACGGAAACGAGTGTAAACTTCGTCTGGAAGCATGTCAGCATCGTCGAGAAATACGCGTTCTATACCAGGGCTTGTGCAGTGAGTAACGGCTTTGTCCGACATAGTACGGATCGATACCACTTACATCAATTATTCACCCGTCGAGCGGCACAAATTTCCGGGAGTTCCTCGTCGACTCGGAAACGAAACGACGTTTCGCCGTTAAACAGCAGCCAGTGTGCAGCTTGTAGGATCATGGGATTACGAGATTGTGACACTTGTCACTCGAACCGCTCGTATTTCAATTAAAAATAATATATGTTGTCTCGCGAGTAGCAGGATCATTAAAGAATTACCATGCAGGACAAGCCCAACGCCAAAGAACTTTGGTTTCGCTATTAAATTAATCAAGCAATGCGAACGGAGAAGGAAAGTGTTGAAAGAATCGGCAACAGGAAGAAAATAGTTGGGCAACAATTTCTTATCTATCTCTCTCTCTCTCTCTCTCTCTCTCTCTCCCCCTCCTTCCTCCCCCTCTTCCCTATACCTTGTTGCTTTCGCATTGACGATTCGTAACGTCGTAAAGAGTTTCTTGAGGAAGCGAGGTAACCATTGCTGCGTGTATATGGTATTTCAATATTACTAGTAATTACGTTTACATGGAAGCCACACAAGCGTTTCTATGACGTGCGATCATTAGGGTTATTTCTACGCCATATAACGGCCATTGAGGTGAGCATTCAATTAAACTGGAAACAACAGTGATTTTAAACCCTTCCGTTCTCTAATTACTTAGTGCAGTGTTGTTATCTATCCTGGGGAAATAGAAATTGGAGGATGACTAGCAAAAATACTATCCACTAAGAATTGGCTGTTCAACTTCCAGTAATTGTAGTGGAAATGGGAAATGGGAAATGGGAAATTCTTCCGAGACCGCGAGTCCAGACGTTTGCGTTCGGATGATTATTATCTTTGTTTATCTCTTTCTTGAAGTATCCTTCCGTTTGCTTATCGACTATTTATTTCACTCATTCTTCTAATCAGGTTCTTCCTTTTTCTACCTAACATTTCATAACATGAAAAAGTTCACTTTGACCTGCCGCTTATGTAGAACCGTGCGACAGAGAGGTTGGAGGGTTGACACGTGACACTACAGCTGGTACACTTCATTTCCAAGGCAAATCGCAGATTCGCACATGCAACTGATAATAGATACAAGCCACAGCACGTGTACGCAGCCGTGCAGCCTCCTTCCCTCTCGCCCTAACTCCTCTCACTCTGCGTTTTCCATCAACGCCGTAGAATCAAGGATTCGTCGCAGAACAATTGAAGGCGGGGGTCGGCTCGGACATATTTCCACTTACACTATTGCACCCACACGTGCGATGAGAGGGTAGTAGTAATCCCTCGGGTGTGGCCACCAGACCGGAAATCCAAGTGGTCAGGAAATTAAATGAAAGCCTGTCTCTCCAAGGATTTATTTATTTAAACCATCGAATTTACTTCGGTTAATATATCAAGAGTAAGCCATAATAACCGAACGGTCGTTATGCCGTTGCCCATACATAGTAGTATGTAGCGTAAAGTCAATAATGAGGGTCATTACTCATTAACATACTAAGCTAGCAGCACAGAAACATTGAACGAGGTAAAAACCATTTCGTAATCTACTTCACTACCTCCTCCCGCAAATACCCCTTCATTACCTAAATGACTCCAAGCATCGGGCTAAGAGGATGTTGTACCTGTGCTTGGATCCTGTGTATCCTGTGTATCCTGTGTGTAGGACACGTGTGTGCAGCAAGGCCTCTATGCATGTGATTGGGTTGAGAAGGGCAAGAAGGTGGCTGAAGCCCTCTTGGTCTCGTATATAATTTCCCGTATCAGCAGTGGCGACTTGTTGTGGAGAGCACTGTAGATTAAAACGCGGTTTCATGCATATCACGATGGCGCGACTTTGCTTTGCGCGGTATGAGTTGTTACCCTAAGGCATGCACGCTGCATATGCATGCATCCCCCAAGCCCCAACTAGCTACCCTATGGAGTAGGGTAGACCCCCTTAGCCACCTTACCTCCCCCCCCGCCCCGCCCCCGCACTCTCCTCTCTCCTCTCTCCAGCCAACTCTACTCTACTTCATCCACCAGCTTCTAGCCTGTAATGCCAGACGCTCCTATTCCTCACCGAGCCACGTGCATCCACCACCCTACCTTATACTCTACCTATACGACCATACATCTGGCTTTCTGGCTTTCTGGCTTTCTGGCTACCTAGCGAGCTAACTAGCTACACCTTTTGGGGCCACATATAGTACACGTATACAATATATATGTATATCCTGTTCCCACTCTCCTTGAAAGATTCGCGTTGGATTTCAATGAATTCTAAAGATAACTTCTCGGCCGGCAATTGAAATCAGGCTACATCGTGCCAGCTGGAATCTACTACTGGCTCCAGAGATAATTTCCTTTCGAAAGAGATACAGTTATGCAAATTGATCTTGGAAATCTTTATTAATGACATTTCGAAACGGTATCATTAAATATGCGCGGATGCCTCGCGTGGATACGTTCCTACCGATATTACATTTTTCCGCACTAGCGCTCATAAATTTCTTCGTATTATACACACAGATATTCGTAGCTACTGTTTCGTCTACGTCCCTTCGAAAGAAATCTTCCATAATTTCTCATTAATTCACAAACGAAAAACGGATTCTGGTTGATAATGGTTATTGTAATTGCACCTGAATTTGGACTGCATGAGAATTCTAGATCTGAATTTGGAATTCCTTCGAGAATTAAAGTCGTTGGCTTTCCTCCAAGACTTCTACTGCAATTAGGAAAGAAAGCGGCAGAAGAAATTTTTCGAAATCGTTTCAACTAATCGATTTGTCGATTCTGTTGCAGATGGCTGCGAAAACAAGAAGTGCGATCATTACGCCATCTGCGAAAGCGACAGCGCAGGGGAAGCGAAATGCGTCTGTCCGAAAAACTGCGACGAGTCGGTGAGTCGGCTTGTTTGCCCTTTTTCATTTATAGGCAGGAGCGCGTGGTGATGATGGGACACGCGGGGGCGTTTCGTGCAATTAGCATCGCAAATAGTCTGTGTGTGCGTGTGTGTGTCTGGGCGTCTGCGCGCGTGCACACGGTCCAGATTGTTTGTATCCAAAAGTCCAGCCGAACTACTCAATCGATCCTCTTGAAATGTAGAGCAGAACTGCAGTTGCGTATGTAAATGACACAATAAATACACAGCAGCAGTTCTGCAGATTCGTAAAAATACGGAAGAGTGGAAGCGTCATAGTGGGAAGACCGTGTGTACCGTATAACGTATAACGGTATACGGATGCTGTATAATAACGCCGTTGAGCAATTGGAGGGTTGTTAGGTGAATGGGTAGGTGGTCTCAAGGTAGGAAGAATCGCAAGGGAGCGAGAATTTCAGAAAATAGATTTCAGCTAGAATTCTAGTTTCTCCGGCGATCGCTGGTGAAGGGGAAAAGGAGGGGGGCGGGGCGGGGGGTCGACGCGGCACAGGGGAAGACTGAATGGAGGGTGCCATGCGTCCCTTCAGCCTCCCTTTGACCTAACTCCACCCCACATAGGATTGACGAGTCAGCATTACGAGATAAAAGAGAAAGGGATTTTAGCGTCGAACCTCAGGAAAATCCTTGCGAAAGGATCAAGGAATTGATAGGTATTGAGTATTGTTTGAACGGACCTTTTTCGTTTCTTCATCGTCAATCTTCATGATATGTATCAAGCTTAATATTTAATTCTGTGTAGAGGGTAAATAAAGTAAAATTCACCAGGCCATTAGGACGACGCGTCTCGCGGTAATCAGTCAAACGCAAATAGCGAGAAATAAAAAATTGCATAGCCTAAAAGATCGACGGGACATTTTCGTATATTTTTAAAAGGAACACTTTTCCACTCCAAAGTGCTTGTTAAAATTACAGATTTGCCTTCAAAAGTCTCCGGCTCATTTTTTTCATCATTTTCAATTCAGATTACCGGTTAGGCTCCGTTCTATCAAAGGGAAAGCCTAACGACGTGTAAAATGTATCGAAGCAATTCGTCAAGAAGCAAATAACCGTAATCCATAAAATCCCGGGAAAAATTTGATCAGCTTTAATGTGTCATATACGTATGTGCAGAAGAGTCGAGTAGAGCGTAAAGTACAAGCCGTGAGAGCAGAAGGGATTTAGGGAAGAGGGATAGAAAAGTTTACGAAGTAAATTAATTTCGGCAAGTCCGTGTAGCCAGGCGCCAATTATAACGAAGAACGCAGGAGGCAAATACGGGGTAGTGGGCAGCTTTAAGGTCGCCCTATCACCAATAATGAATCGTCCTGTAAATTTAACACCGCAAAGGTTATTCGGCGATTTCTCCACTCGAACTCCACAAACGGCTATTCCAATCAAGCAGCCATAATAACTATTAGCCATTGTTATTGCGAACCACCACAAATACTGCGGTCTCGAATTCCAATTAGAACTAATGAAGCCTGTACACAGGATAACCTGAGCGCTTGGATGCTGGAGTAATCTCCGTGAAGCCCACGTACGGATTTACCCCATTTGTTTTTCCAACTGTTTCTCCTTCTCCACTAATAAGTAAATAGAACAATGAACGTCGGAGCGGCTAATCGAGTTTTCCTTCTTTTTCCTTTTATCTCCGATCGAGCATCCTATCTCGTGCAACAAGTGAAACTCCCAGCAGGGTTAGAATCTCCATTTTGACACGATATATTTGCAGGAGAAGGAACCACCTGCCGCCTCTAAGGTTTGTGGCTCGGACAGGGTGACTTACGCCAGCGAGTGCGCCCTCAAGAAAGCCTCTTGCTCTACGCAAACCCTAATCGTTCTTAGCTACAAGGGTGACTGCGGTAAGATCACGTCCCTTTAAGAATTCCACGGGAAACCTCGTGACGGGATTCCTTTTATGCTTCTGCTGATTTTCTTTCTTTCAGAATTGTGTACTGGAGTGAAATGTGAGCATGGGGCCCGTTGCGTCGCCGGGGTCTGTACCTGCCCAGAAGCCTGCCCGGAAAAGGCAGGTGAACCAGTTTGCGGAAGCGACGCCAAAACTTACCCATCGGAGTGTGAACTCCAGAAGAGTGCCTGCGAAAGGACTCCCACTCTTCCTCCACTTCATGTCATTTTCTATGGCGACTGCAGCGAAAGATTCGCCGTGGCGGCTCTCAGTGAGTTTACGTATATTATAGCAATTTTCACGTAACTATCGTACGTCAGAGTGCTGCTCAACTTTTCCTACATTTCACTCATCTACTACATATTAACAAATAACAGATACTTTTAAAACTAATTGTGAACGCTATGAAATAAGCTTAACTAACCGCACTAACGCCTCTCTGATCCTTAACCACCCCATAGCCACCGTGTCGACACCCGCCGTAACTCGCCTAGCAACAACAGTCGAGGTGACAAGTACACAAGAGAGAGAAGCCTGCAAGGATATTCATTGCGATTTTGAGGCGACCTGCGAGCTTGGTCCGGACAAGTTTCCAAGATGCAGCTGCCGCTTCGATTGCGCATCGATATCGCCGGAGAACATGCGTCCTGTTTGCGCGAGTGACCACAAAACTTACTCGTCTCTGTGCGCCATGAAGATGGAGGCCTGTCAGAGGCAGCAGGAACTGAGACTCAGACCATTAGACCTTTGTCAAGGTTCGAAATTTCTCGCAAGATAATCAACTGTCATCCTATTTCAATAGTCGCATTCCCTTTCTCAGTTTAGTCCGTTCACCAACTTGAGTATGACCCTCGTAGGACCTTTGACCCCAGACACCTTGCAACGGCCAATGCTTTACTTTCCTCCGATGTGTTTTTTCTTTTTTTTTTTTTTATTCTACTGGAAACTCGATACGAATATTATTGAATATTTCTTACAGGTATGGAGGTAAAACCGTGCAATGGGGATCCGCCATTAGTGGATTCTGAGAATAGGGAATACGATTGCGGCAGTGGAAAGGAACGCAGAGATTGCCCTAGCAACAGTTACTGTCATCAGACAACCTCGTTTGCGCGTTGTTGTAAAAAAGGTGAAGCTTTTCAAAGATCTTATAGGATCCGACAACCCGTAAGGAAAAGTAAGGATATCAGAGAATTTCGTATTTCTGCGTAGCTCAAGGAGTGCAGGTAGTAAAGTGTTCAGACTCATGGCACGGATGCTGTCCCGACGGCAAGACAGCAGCTTTAGGTCCAGACCACGCAGGCTGCCCAAGTTTATGCAACTGCAACAGACTCGGAAGTGTCTCGGACACCTGCAACCCCGAAACCGAACAATGCGAATGCAAGCCGGGCGTCGGTGGTTTGAAGTGTGACAGATGCATGCCGGGTTATTGGGGTCTACCAAAGATCAGCGAGGGCCACCAGGGATGCATACGTAAGAACACCCATCCAGAGAATCCCTCATACAATTTTCAGTCCCTAACCTAACCAGACGCGCAGTATTCATGAGGCCTTTGATTTTGCTCATTAGCTTGCGGCTGCTCCCTCTTTGGATCTGTGCGTGAGGACTGCGAACAAATGACTGGTAGATGCGTGTGCAAGCCGGAAATACAAGGACAGAAGTGCACCATATGCACAGACCACAATAAGATACTAACGCAGACAGGATGTTATTCAGGTATCCTAAAGAAAATGGCATGAAATATTCGAAATTCCTAAATTCGCGAGACCTTCCTTCGGGAAAACAAAAATATTCACAATCACTGGAAGATTTCATGTCCGACGTGATTCTAGTCTAATATAGAGTCTATGTTGATAGCTGACGCGAGTCCACCAATTCCAACAAGCTGCAACGAACTGGAGTGCTATTCCGGTGGACACTGCTCGGAAATTGGCGGTGCGCACTGCGTCTGTCCGTCTTCCTGTCCGACGGAAGTACCGTCGATGCCCGTCTGCGGCAGCGACGGACAGACTTACGACAACGAATGCGAGTTACGACTTTACGCTTGTCGACATCAGGCGGACGTCGTGACGCAGGCCTTTGGTCATTGCCGAGGTGGGTTCACTGAACGTACGCCCTACAGGTCGCCGTACATTCTACGCTACTGAAGGTCATGCTACTCGCTACTCATGATGCCCTTGTTGTACCCCTCATCTATAAAGCTGTAACATTCTTCAGGCGTGAATTCCTGACATAGAATTAAAAAAAAAAAAAAAGAAATAAATTACCTAAGAAGTATCTAATGGACTTAGCGAAATTCAAGAATTCAAAGCTCCAAAAGTGAATTTGATTGCACTAATTGTCTGCCGTGGTTTTACACTGTAGATTGTAACGATGTAAAGATATGTGTACGATTCTTAGCTAGATTTACATAGTGAAGAAAGGAAAGAAGTCGGAAAAGGCAAGAGTGAAGTGAAAGGGAAAAAATAATGGCCGAGATAGGATAAAGTCATATTCGTCGAACCTAGAAGAATCACGTGCAGCAGTGATCGTTAGCATCGCAAAGATTGCAAGGATCAAAAAGAGATACCCTGTACGATTAGAAAATGCGACCAGGTTAAACGTAGCTCTATGCCTTTGTATCCTATCGAGATAATAAAATCTGGCAATTTTTATCTGAGCTTGTATGCATTTGTGATACATATATGTATACTCATCAACCCCAACCCTGATTTCGTTCGGTTCTATCGTCTGGGATGCCGACGGAAGCCAAACTGAAAAATGAATAAGGTTGGCTCTTCATTAATAAGACACTTACGGTTTTCTAGATGATGTAACTCAACCTACAAACTCTTTTCTCAATCTCTATTCTTCTCCCTTCTGCCCTCGCTTTGCCTCTTCCTATCTCGCCAAAGCAAACGCTTATTTAATCAACAGGGAGCTAACGCTTTCGAGATTAAATCTAGAAGACCGACAACTTATCTTGATCGGCCTGGGAATGAGCGATGGGTGGGCGGCTGTCGGAGGGAGAACTGCTGCAGTCAAGTCGAGTTACCGTTCGGGGTTCAAATATATCGAATGCAAATAAAAGAGAGTTCGTAAAAGAATGAAAAGAAATCTCGAACCGAGTCGCTGTGAATCCATTAAACTGGAAGTCCATCTTTCTGCTTTCCCTATATTCGATTGTTGCCCCAAGAAAATCTGCCAGTCCAGACATTGCTGCTCTTCCTTCGAGGAGCTCCTCTTCGTATCCCTTGACGGGCGCCTCAACGTCGGGTACCTCAAACAACCCCATCCCCATTACCATCCCCATCGACATTTCCAACTCGACTTCAGGATAGCACCGAAGGAAGTCAATCTTTTAAAAAGTTTTCCTAGACTCTTCTGCCGCGCAAGTTAAACATAAATTAGATTACGAAAGGCCAGTTTCCAGCGCACTTCAGAGCTCCTTCCAACTTTTGTATTTTCCGACTTTTTAGTCGTCGACCCTATCGGACTTGGTACAACGTGGCTCGCTCGCCATATTCATATCTCTCTCTCTCTCTCTCTCTCTCTCCATCTCTCTCTATCTCTTGGCCATGAATAAAGTAGCCTTTCACTTGGGGATTCCTCTTGCTTGTAATATTGTATTTTCCCAGTATACGCATTGATGGCTTATCAATCAGAGATAAATTTTTTGCTATTCAAAGCCACTCATTCTTCTTTTCTTATAGGAAGAACACCTAATTGATGGACAATTGCCACTCACGTACGATGAGCATTATTTAGAGATTATTTAAGGAATCCTCTTGTCCAACTACCCAAACGCTTGATAAAAATTTCACTTATAATGCACTGTAAAGTACAAGAGTAACACGAAACAGAACAGAGAAGCATATTAATAAAATAAATAACGAAGAAATAAGGAAGCCTTGAATAGCAGCAGGAAATTCAAGTTGTCAAGTTTTAGTAATAGAAAATAATACGGAATTGAAAAGTAATTAAAATCTCATCAAGGAGTGACACTGTACTACGCGCTACGCAAGTGACAGAGCAATGCATTTCCTGTAATCGCATTTTGCATAGAGTTTTTCTTTATTCCGCAGATAAACTAGTCGAACCTTCCTTCCTCGAGAAACTACCGACGGTTTCACCCGGAAGCACATTACAGAATTTGCAAAATCAATGGGACACTCCATCTAATGGATCAATTTCCATATAACGTAAATTCAATCATTTTCCGAAGAGAATATCACTCGTGCCTTCGACTTAACTTTTGCCATGTCAATTAAATTAAAATTTTCGACAATAAACGTTCCTCGAGTCATTGACCCTTGCTTTGCACCGAATGAAACACTAATCCCCTGACCACTCGAAAGCTTTACATCGAACCGCTATGAACTTTCAGACGACCCGATGGTGAACACAGACTTTCCCGTAAAGAGATACACAGCCGTCCAGTACACGCAGCCAGCTGCAGCTATATCGCCTTTATCCAAATCCACAAGGCACCTTCTGGTACCAGAACCGGATCCCCGTTATTATTACACGCATCGCGCCCACCAGGAGACCATCACCATCAACAGAGATAACCTGAAGCATGGTACGTCTTCTGCTTTTCAATCTCACAGATGATATCCTGCGGGACAAATTAGAAAAAGATGAAGTTATTAAAAAGAATTGGTATAGACTTTTACGTGTACTGAGCTAAGTTCGGTTTTAGGTGTAGCCGCTGCGTATAGACCAACACCAGCTACAATTAGAGTCGTTACAGCTCTTCTTGGTGACCTCTGCGCCGACGATAAGGACTGCACGATCCCGAACAGCGAGTGCATCAATGGTGGTTGCATCTGCGCCGACGGCTACGCCGAGACGAGCGACCGTCAGGAATGTTTCGGTGAGCGAGAACCCAGAACTTATTCGCTTGACTGTACATGAAAAACCCTTCGAGCCTCTAATTATACTCTAACGATTTTTCAGCGAATTATGTGCCGGTTACTCCTACAGAAGAATTTCGTGCTTGTCTCTCATATCCTTGTCACATGTCCTCTACGTGCATCGATTTGCCGAGCGCCACATTCGTCTGCGTGTGCAGACCAAATTACACGGGTTTGCTCTGCGACGAGGAGATGAACAAACGTGACTACGAGGTGCCGTCATTCGATGGAAAAAGTTACGTCAGAATGAACAGACTGAAGGCCTATCACAAATTCAGTATCGAGGTAGAATTTAAGACGTATGCTGATAACGGGATTATACTGTACAATCAGCAAAAGAAAGATGGCACCGGTGATTTCGTATCATTGGCCATTGTCGACGGGTCAGTCGTTCACATGTCAATGAAAATATTTATTATTTCATAAGTTTATCTATAATTCTTTTATTTAATTTTCTCCATTAGGCACGTTCAGTTCAGATACAATCTGGGAAATGGAGCGGTCATATTAACGTCCTCAGAACGAGTCTCCATGAAAACGTTTCATCGGATAGCAGCGAAAAGATATCATAAGGATGGAGTTTTGATATTTAACGACGGAGAGGATGTCGCTGGTCAGAGTCAGGGAATGCTCAAATCCCTAGACTTGAATCAAGACACGTTTGTCGGCCACGTTCCCACCAACTATACCAAGTAATTAAGCACCAGCTGTATCCCAATGTCAGCTTCTCTCATGATAGACACTCAGACTTCTTACAACAAACGGTATGATCTTTCAGGGTTTATGAAAATATCGGTACCAGCCACGGCTTATTGGGATGCATCCGTAAGCTCAAGATAAACAGGATACCTGTGGATCTGCACATGGGTCAAGACAAGGATATCCTGGAGACTTATCGCGTGAAGGAATGCGGTGAGAATGCCTGCGCAAATCTGCCCTGTCAAAATGGCGCCACCTGTCAGCCAATTTATGAGGAAGATTTGTGCAATGGCCGGGAATGCAAAAGGAGTCCACGCAAGGGACGGGGTCGATCTAAGGGCGTCAGCATCGTAAGATGCAAAGGTTCCCGCTGCGTTCCGGAATCACGAAAATCGAAAAAGAACTCGAAGAAACGTTGCGCTTCGTTCGGATGCGATTACGATTACGGCGCCGAGTACCATTCGAAATACGGACACAATTATGCCATGGATAAGTACGAACCGCAAGAATACAAATGCATCTGCCCACCGCAGTACACAGGCGTTAATTGCGAGGAAACGTTGGACCCTTGTATGACTGAGCCCTGCCAACATGGCGCCACTTGCGACATTCTCCCACAAGGCGGATACGTCTGCAAATGTCCTCCAGGCAGAACTGGCGAACAATGTGAAATCCGTAAGTTCCTCTCTCAGAGCTGAACGAATTATTATTTTTTCTTTCTACCATCTTACTGAATTAAAACGTATTCCTCGCGCAGTTGATGCGGAACTCACGGAGTTGCTGGTACCGGAAATGTCGGCCGATGGCTTTCTCGAAATGCCATGTCTCGAAGGTGTGGCCAAGGCGTTCTCCATCGAATTGTGGTTCCTCACTCGCGCGAACGACGGTCTCCTGCTGTACAACGGTCAATTGAATAACGGCAGAGGCGATTTCATAAGCCTAAATTTGGTCCGCGGCCGACTTGAATTCCGGTTCAATCTAGGAAGTGGCATAGCCAACATAACCTCGCCGGATCTTGTCAGTCTGGATACCTGGCATTGTGTCAGGATCAGTAGATTGGGTAGAGAAGGATTGCTGCAAATGGACGACGGTACAGTGGCTCGAGGACTTTCCGGAAGTCCTTTAACTGAACTCAATCTAGAGATGCCTCTCTATATTGGAGGAGTCAAGTAAGATAGGTTCTATGTTATTTTAATGAACTCACTAGGATTTCAATGTATTTGTTAAAACCTAAGAATGTGTATTCACTTGCTGCTGCAGACACTGGCGGGAAGTTCATCGTCTGGCCGGTGCCTGGACCGGACTCGTAGGAGCAATTCAGAGATTAATGGTAAACGGGAAAACTTACCAGAATCTCGCTGTAAACGTGACCCAGCATAACACCGAGGTCTACGATGGTTTGCCATGTCCAAGCAATGAAAATCCCTGTCACAATAGTGGCGTGTGTCTCCCTCTACTGAACAGCTACCTTTGCAAGTGCGCAGCCGGCTATAACGGACTCCATTGTGAATTCTGTAAGAGAGATTCTTGAAGTTGCTTAAGATTCGAGTTCTCCTATTCAGTCTTGATCTACGATCATTTATTTATTTACAGTCATGGGTTCGGGTCACGATGCGACCAGCAGCGAAATCTCTGAGAAACCTGTGCGGTTTAATGGCGATAATTTTCTACAATTCAAGCATCGCTTTGGCCGAAGGTAAGAGAACTCATAATTTATTCTAGATCAACCAGTCGTCCATGACTAATCTGGCCCAACTGGTATTAACTTGAACATAGTCAACTAACTCTAATCTCTACTAACTTCTCAGTCCTAACGTCACTAATACCACGCTTGGAGAATACTTCGAGGAGTCTTACTTCGATTATGATTTGGAAGATGATATCGATTACGAGTACGAGAGTTACGATTATGCAGAGTAAGTTTTAAAAGGTTTAGAATGACTTTTCTTTATGATATCGAATATCCTCGTGATCCTTCTGTTGATTCCCATTCTAGTATCTCCTCGATACGTTGAAATGTAATTAACACAAAGCGACAACACACGACCTGTCACGTAATGTCCTGATAATGAATTCCAGGCGCAGAGGACAACAATCAAACAAACTCGATCTAAGATTAAGGACAACGCATCCCGAGGGTCTGATAGCGTGGATAGGACGTGGCAAGGCTGAACACTTAATATTGTCCTTGCAGGAAGGACACGTAGTCCTGACGTACAAGAGCAAAAGCGAGGAAATTTCCCTGAGGAGTAGAGTACGTATAATTGCCACTATCCTCGTAGCTCGCATTAACTTTGTCCTACGCGGTACGTGCATTTATCTAGACACGCGTATTTACATATCATACTTTCTCTCGAAGAGTCAAGAAATATAATTCGGCAGATCAGTATTCAGGTTTGTCTTTGAAATTTCAGGAAAGAATCGACGACGGTATCTTCCATCACATAAAGGCGTCGCGACGTCGAAAGGCAACCCTCATCCAGATAGACGAGCTCCAGCCCGTGAAACTCTCGACGGAATCAAGTCTGCTAATGACCAACGGGAAACTGTTCATCGGTGGAAAACCTGGCCACAGGGGTTTAAAAGCCTGCGTCACGGATTTCATAATAGACAAGAGGCGTTTGCAACTGGCGAGACGAAAGATTGAATTTTGCCACGATAACGACGTATGATAGCGAGCCGTGAGTCATCGGATAAGCTCCGACGCACCGCTTCCAGTTAGATTAAGGAAAGTCGTGGAAATGGCGGGGACCGTTGTCGCGAGTTAACAAGAAATCTTTCAAGTATTAGAAAGACACCAAACGGAATAACTCTGCGCCAGGATTAAAAAATTTACAAGGAATGTTATACAACAATATGTAGAAGAATGCGTACAACAAGATTTACTTATGTCGCCCTGCGAAGGAACTTGCTTCAGGATTTTTCCATCCTCGGTTTAAACGTTTGTCTTTACTTACGAGGAGATAGTAAGCAAACGAAAAGACATGCTTGAATGGGACGCGAGTTTTAGTGAAAATTAGAAAATCGTGATTGTTCGTAGGAATTAATGAGGAAGACAAAGAAATACAATTTCTAAGGAGGAAGGAATGAAACCAGACAAATAGCAAAGAAGAGAATATTCAAATGCTATATTTCCATCGAAAGACAATAATATATTTTTAAGTATATCCGTGACGATATTCGCTCACGGATACAAAATATATATATAAATTTACTCTGTAAACATACTTTTAGAAAATCGGCGTGGACTATTAAGATCAATGTAAATGGGAATTTACCTTTTTTTTGCGGTATCTCAAAATTTCAGTCGATAGTTGTAATATTAAGAGTAAGATAATGAGAGACATGCACACACGTACACACGCGTCATTATATATAATGCCAAGACTGACTAACATGGAGGAAGAGAAATTAAAATCGGTGTTATGTTTGAGTGTTCGGTAGAGAGGTTTAATATTGTGCATTTCCGATGAAGCAAAAATGTATTTTAAAGGACTGTTGATTTATGCCAGTAGATTGCATTGTTTCAGATAGGCGAAGCTTTTTATAAATGAGCATAAAGTATATATATATAAATGCCTATGTTATATATATATATATTACATTCCATTATCATGGACAACAGATGTATCCGATAGATTCTCTATATTATGTAGATATAATATATATTATAGATATTTATAATATCTATGTGTAAAACAAATATTAGGATAATGAGATTGAATAGTAATTAAATGTGTATTTAAGAAACAAAAGTATGTGACAAGGAACAATTGTAAAAGATTCGTCCGATATGAGAGTGTGAGTCCATTTCCCAAAATATGTAAATAATAGAATGTACGTTAATTATCTATTGATTGATTATCGCATAAGTAGAATGTACCTATATTGGACCTAATGACTCTAACGACCTAAAGATGTTATTTGATACATATGAAAATCTTAACGAGACGCGGCTTAATTTTCTAAATGGAAAACATCGATAGATCAAGTGATCCTTGTATACGAAGTTGTACGGTTTAATGTCATCGACGTCGTAATTCCATCGCGAGAGAAGATGGAATGAAAGAGTAATAGGAAAGAAATGTGAGAGAAAGGCCATTTTGTAAAAGAGATATTTTGTGAAGACTACAAGATCCAAGAGAATTATTTTCAAAGAAGAAGCACGCACATTTTGAGGACTTTCAAGAAGCTGTATTCTTCGTCACAAGGAGATATTTTTAAATTTGATTCAACAAAAATATTTAATTAGGTCGCCACTGTATACGCCGAAAGGATAAAATGTGAAATGATCCCAACAAGATTCATTAGCATTTGAAGATATGAAAAACAGTGAAAAAACGTACAGTCTGTGAAAAAACTTAATTCGCATTGTTTTCTACTATCAAACGATAACTTGTATGAATACTATGTCAGACTTCGAAGCGTCACAATTAAGATAGATTCTAACGAATAATACGTATCTAGCGAACGCAAGTCGCGCTCTATAATATCATAAAAATATCACAAGAGTGTTTTGGTAGATTTAATAGTAGAGCAACATAACGACGCAATTCCTCGCGAATTCCATAAAGAATTTCAGCAGTGATTCACGGATTTCGCCAGCAATTCAGCAGAGATTTATGTATAAGGTGCATTACGTGACTCGTGAGTCGTGGACGACCGTGAAACTCCTCCATCTAAGAATTTCATTTATCTGCGGAATTTAGAAAGAGAAAAAGATTGAGAGGAAACGAAAAAACGTATGTTAGAAAATATATATTTAGCCAGTATAACAAAGCGAATATCGATCGGTGAGACTTTCAGTAGAGTTCTCCGACGATCGCAACGCCCCCGCCACTGATTTCGCGAATGAAAAATCGAGCTTAAGGAACGTCGCCGGGACGAGTGGATTTATTAATATTGGATTAGCGGTGTGAAAATGTTAAGAAAGAGAATAATGAAAATACAATAAAGCGTTGCATAGTGCCGTAGCTCGTAGCAAGAGACGTGACGTGATACGTGGAAACTTGTAGATTTGACAGGAATTTTCTGGCTGTCTGAAGAATAAAAGGAAATGATAGAACTCATTGTGAAATTAATCATGGAAGGACATCGCGAGCAATCTTACACATATCCATATGTTTACGTATCTTCTTTGGACTCCGTAAAGATTAAGGATGAGGATTTCAAGCCGTAAGGAAATGAATGAAACATTTATTCCGAATTTCCAAATTATCATGAAACACATATCGAGAATACCGATTATCTTACACTCTGCATCAAGTAAATATGCATTTTTCTCAAGACGAGAGTGCAAAAAGGGACGAGCCAAGTTTTGCTTCTGGGATGCTGACGGTGAAAATATTGTCAAACTCTTGAAAAGGACGATGAAATCACCGTCTTTTTTCATTAACTTTTCTTCGCCTGCCATTCATTCTGCGTCGACCTTTATTGCGCGTGTTTGCATCTCAAGGAACTTTGAAAGTCTCGAAAAGATACCGAAGATAGAGACAATGCTGCCGCGTGACTAATCGTCGACAATTCGAATTCTCTCGTCCAATGAAATAGAGGAAATTTTGCAAAAAGTTTTCTAGCGGACATGAGTCAAAAGACAATAGTTGCCCCAAGCGGACGAGAGCGCAGCAAATCTCTTGCGAGAAAACTACTTATACTTACTGCCAACCTTAGATAGGTGGATACGTCTTTTTTATTTTTTATTTTTTTTATTTTTTTTTTCACTAGTATCCGTGACTCTGGCAGCGTGTATGGTGCAAGAGAGTTTTAGAGATTCTGGGAAATGTCACGTCTACGTCAGGGTACGCTTTAATCGAGAAAATTATGAGTTTTCTTTCAACGTGTAGCACACGTGTGAACGCTGCCCTCAATTAGTTTTTTACTTTGATACCGTCATACTGTGACCGTAACGCTCGAAACCTAATGGAGCTACTATGTAACAAAAAGCGCATTGTAAAGTAACTGTATATAAATATATAAATTATGCGATTACCATCAATTGGTTCGCCATGTTGTATTTTTTTTGTGGATTTTCCCTTAAACCCATTTTAAGGAATTTTCTAAAAGTCACTTAAAGCTGTAAGCCTACTTGTATAAAATAATTGAATCAGGTCTCAATGGTTCCAAATGGAAATCTGTAAAAACGGATTTATTTCTAATACACTTGTGTATTGTATATCACATTAACACAAATTTCATTCATTATATTTACAGCAAATCCGCTTTCGCGTGCCATTCATTCTCGCATAATACAAATTACGGATTAAGTAAAAACTAATGGTCGTGCTCGCATTTAATCCGGGGTGTACAATAAATTAATATAGGCCCCCGTCGTCTCTTGTCACGATAAATATTTGTCACAAGGGATGGCAACAAATTGGATACTTAATTAAGCAATATTATATACACATCATTAGGGATTAACTCTGGCCCTCCTTCGCCAGTTCTTCCAATCGCTGCCTGAAGATCTGTCTGATTTCGGCAATTGGTTTGGTCAGGAAGATCGGTACGTTGTCGTCCCTCCTCTATTATAAAACAGACAAAATAATGTCAATATCGAAAATTTCAAAAATCATTATTTCCTTTAAAATGGAAAAGACCCGTGACATCGAATAACTAAATTTTGTCTTACCTGGAAAAGGCATTCCCCTTCAAATTCTACGAGCTTTTGCTTCCTGGCTCTGAGAAGAAGACCGACGCACTTATCACTGACATGGGTGTAGATGTTGAATAGGTCACCGAAAGTGATGCCAATGATTTCCGGCATATCCTTGCAAGGAGTTCCATTTTGACTGATGATCTCGCAAAGCTCTTGAATTTCACGGGAAATATGTGCTGTAGCTTTGCGTCCCCGAATATCTGAGAGAGATCCGGCCGCCGGGCTAAAACGAAATAATATATTTTTATTCAATTTTATAATAATAAGATATCAAATTTGTAATGTACCAACTCTTTTCATCTGGCGTACATTCGAATATAATGTACACGCAATAGAGAATTGATAATGATATAAACATTTCCGTACAAGAGCCGTTGGTGAACAAAAAATCAAGATTCAACTTACCGGCCATATTCGTCTTTCGAAAATTTAGGTTTCTCGATATTTAAACCGGAAGTGAAAGGATTTTTCTTTTGCCCATCCAAATGCTTGTCGGCATGCTGATTAAACATGGCAACCTTGTCTCCCAAAGATTCCTAAAATACAAAAACAGAATGTCAACATTTTAGAATGTTTCCATAAACTTAATTGACTATATTGTAATCTCAAAAAAGATACAAAATCAAAGCACTTGAAACTTCTCCGTACGTACTGACGATCTTACCGAGAAATCAAATAATTAATCAAAAGAAATCTTAATTGACGTCCATGCAAGAATATTTATGCCGCTCAAAAATACACGAGCGCTCGAGTCCGAAGCTCCACGCTTTGAGAATTCCGAATTCACAATGAACGACCTCCATAGCTCAGGAAAACTTGCTAAAAGTATATGACGTACGTCGACCATCTGCCGTCTAGCGATGCCGAACGACGTACAGACGCAGTATGCGCATCTTCGGGGCTTCTAAGCCTGAGTTGAACAGTGACTTTCAAGAACTTCTTGAAACCTAGAACTTTCTCAAGTCCATTTTCTACTACCCAGGCTTAACAGAATGACCAAGTCAAAAGGAGTGACAAATGACACATTAAAGTGCAACTAAATGCCAACCGAAAGGATGCAGGATAACTTTTGTACGGACTTGTTGTTTTCCTTTGAATGTCCACGTAAAAGAAAAATATGAATATGCGGACACAGGATCTAGCATTCTAGCGAAAAAGATTCGCGACTACCTAATCAACTAGGAATGTTGGATGGGATCCAATAGAGCAGGCTGTCGACTGGCCCTGACCATAAAAGACATCGCGATGGCATTTTGTCAAGTTTTCTTTATCTATATAGGTCCCTACATTCATACATTAAGCACGTGATACCCTCACGAGATTTGAACTGGTCGTTTATGAGATATGAACGTGTCGACGCGTGGAAACTATCCTTAACCTTGATATGTACTTTCTTCTTTGACAATATCGCTTTTCGAAGATCAATCAACGTGACACGACCTAGACCTTCCGTTTGATCCTGCTGCGTTTGACCCAGAGCATCGACGGATCGTTTATTGAAAAATATTCCTTTAGTAAGATAGACGCGTGTATATTAATTATAGGAGAAAATAAAGAAAAATAATTTGCAATTAATTATAAAGTTTCAATATCTAAAACTTAATGGAATTGTCGCACAGATACTCCGGGCAAGAAATACTCACGAACATTACTGAAGACATTTTGCCGATTCTCACTGAAGGTTTACCACGCGAAATTAAATCGAATGTCCAATACTATTTAGGTACTATCTATTTTAACGAAAGCGAATGTTGACTTTCGAGAGCACACTGGAGGCTTTTATAAGCAGCTTGGACCTCTTTTACTTGGTTAGTTATTAATTATGCTTGCAGGGCGCGCGCCTCGTGAGTAAAGCTTCGCGAGGCTCGGCGTCTTTTTATAAGAAGCTCTCGACGTCAAAAAGCTCCCCCCAAAATGTTACTCGGATCTGAGTGGCTCGCACGCGAAATATTCGCGCCACACCAGACCTTTTCTGAGCCAATTTCAAACGAATCGTCGCATTTGATTGGCTGCCAAACAACGGCCTACTCTGAAAATGCTGTTCCACGATGAATCAAAAATTATTCTGATTATTAGTAACGTGTTCACATCAGAATTATAGTAATCAGTTGGCTGCTGTATCCATAGATAAGACTAAAAATACAATAAACTATATATATATATGTAGGATTTTGGGTCGCGAGGATGACGTGATTAACAGTCATTAATTTTAATTATTGAATATATCAGCAGGTATCGATTTCGCGGAGATACATTCGATCATGCATTTTTTATACTTCATCGACAACGACTGTCATCTTATAAACTTCCTTCGATCGTCAAGCGATCGTCAAGCGATCGTCAAGCGATCGTTGATGGTTTGTCGTTCCTTCTTCTTTTCCATTCCCACGTATGTATATGTATTAGATTAGCATGAGCCGCTTTTGAAATAAATGAAAAGAATTTCCGCAAAATCAAACCCTTTGGAAAAAAGTCATGTACGTAACAATTTGCTAGGCGCGCACGCGTACAGATCATATGTCAGAACATGTGTTTAAGTGTAAACAAAGATCCAGCAGAAAACGCCATCCATAAGAATTGATGGCGCTAACGAATGCACGTGCAGACATTGTTCAAACTGTGCCGGTAAGGAGAGTCTAATGAACAAGCTGACGGCGGCGAACTTGTTCGAAAATTGTCTGGCTGCTGTGTCCGACACTGGAGAGAGGTGAAGCCGAAGGTAATGCATAATAATAAAGTTAAAGATTTATCAGGAATTCGAGAAGAGCACGTTCCCAAATGACGCCAGTTATTTTTGTTAAGTCTAATCGTCCCTGCCCCGCCCTCGTAGCCACTTGTCTTCTGCCACTTCTCTTCTGCCCGAATGAAAAAGCACACGTTGTACTTAACGAATTAGCCAAGAGCGCTGGAAGCTCTGAGAGCGCATTCCGATCTAATTTTACGCATTAATCTTTGAGCGAACCGCGTATAGCAGGGCAAACGGTGTAATTTCAAGAACGTTCTCTGACCGACGATCCTCGTTAACCTTGTTCGAATTGAATAAATTTCTTTGGAACCGAAGGAAGAATTAGTTGAGAGGAAAAGTGACAAAGAAAAGCACTGCATGTGCGCTCGAGTGTTCGTTTAGTTATTTGACAAGAGAAGCAAACCTGTTCGCGAGTGAATTTGGCAAGGAGCGCGCAAAATGATTCACGTGCACGAGCCGTGACATTGAAATCCTTTTGAAAATCAAATTTTGATTCGCTCAATCGCGCCAAAAGAATCGAGCACGCTTTCTCGTAATCTTCACGTGATTTTAACGTGATTCTGCATCTACGTGAATTGCGCCGCGCGCTAACATTTTATGGGTCTGAACGGATTACATTGTGCAAGACTGTTGCAAAAACTAAGCAAATCTGTTTTTCAGCCGGATTTGAGGCTGCTCTATTTTAAAGGAATCGGTATGAGCATGGATAGGGGAACCGTAAAAGGCGAGGATCAATTTGTGGACTTACGAAACGGATCCTAGATGCGCCGTTCTGACCGGAAGTACGGAATTAGATCTGTTTTTGCGCCGTTTGAGCGTGAATGAATGCTACGTCATTAGAGAGTCCGGCCCGCAGCACTGTAATGCCAACACAGCAATGCACATTGGTCCTTTGGTCACATCTTTAGTCCAAGATTAGGTGGCAATGGATCTTCTTCACCATTTCGACCTGAGCTATTTATTTCGAAAGTTCGCCCGAATTAAATTCCCATTAAGAGCGCCGCACGTCATACGGCAACTACAGAGAAGCTACAGAGAAGCTACAGAGAAGCTACAGAGAAGCAGCGACGCTGGTGCATTCGGCTGCTTCACAAGTCCAAAAGGATCCAGGGAGTTGTTATCCAGAAATAAGTCGACGCAGCCAATTTTAGATCTTTCTCGGAATGACTGCACGAAATTGTCCACTGTGTAGATCCAATTGGCATCCGGAAATCCGGTGGGAACTGACTACCCACGTAATTTCTAGCTAGGACGCTGACAATGAATGTTCAGAGCTACTTTTGACTAAGAAAAATTCTTTAGAAATGAGTCACCCTATTATTTTCAACCAGGAAGCTTCTTCATTTTCCTTAAGCTAACGATTCTTACTTCATTCTTAACTATCTCGTCTCACTTCCGCAGTGAATCATTATACGGATAATTGACACATTCGACTGTAAAAATAATTATGAAATTCTAAGCAAAATACGTTGGTCCATAATCAGGAAAGATCCACAGTGCGAACCCTTTTCGAATGGCTGGATCCGCGATGAAGAATTCCTCCGGGCATAAGTCACGAACCACAGCTCGACCTTCAAGGACAAATTTATGTGGAATTTCCCCAGTGGAAGGTCAAAAATATATTTATAATTCCTGACCGACCCACGGAAGCCAAGGCTGTCCGGATGAACCCTCGGTGACCTCTCAGTCGCCGACAATGGCCCTGGAATCGGTAAAGTGAGTGCGACAGAAGAGACAAAGCAAGCACAGAGTGTGCCGAGTACAGAAAGATACTCTTTCAGAGGGATTTCGTGTGGGAATGCAATAAAATAAGAATCTGGATCCGTAAGGCTAACCTAATGCAACACGCGGTCAGTAGTCGAGCACGTGCTTCCTATAAATAATTCCAGTGGACGGCCGATTCACTGCTTTAGAGCAGAACATACATATGTAGATTCTAGTAGTGCGTTGAACACATCACGTGGAGTAGTATAGTTATTCGTAGTATCGAGAAGAGAGGGAGGACAGATTGAAAAGAGAGAGAGTGAGAGAGAGAGGGAAGAGGGCCACGCGTATTCTTTATCTACCAAATTCAAAACTCAACCGACGACGACATTGACGCCGACGCCGACGCCGACGCCGACGCCGACGCAAAAACAGAATACGACAACGTCCATTGAAGAAAACTCAAATAGCAGGACGTCACGATGCTGCCGTCGCACCGGCGTCGACGCCGTTCTCGCCAACATGCTCGCCAACATGCTTGTCAACATGACGCCCAGAACACGCGAGAAAAGTGTCTATCGCGTTAACGATCCGCTAATTTTAAGACTTAAGTAACGCGTTACTCACTTTACCTAGAAACACTCAGACCGATGATGGAAATATTCGAAATGTGCCGTCGTAAACGAACGTCAAATCGTAAGAAGTAAATACGGACTTTTACACAATAAAGACGTAGAACGGCTAAATGTTGAACATTCTATTTGTAAAGGTCGTGTATCGGTAGCTTCGCTACGGTCTAACGAGATGATAGACGACAAACTATTTGGACACGTTTCATCCTACGTTTCACGTCCTACAGAAGATTCGAGAGAAAATGCTGCGAGGGTAGCTTGCTAAGAAATGCGCAGCTGGCTCGCGCTTGGCAGGGAGCACGGAATTTCGAAGTAATTAGGCGAATCCTGATGCTGAGTTACGCAACTCTATACCTTTGACTCATAAGCTAGAGACATGACACGAGACTTGGACATCGGCAGAGAACGCCTTAATATTAGCGTGACCACGCAACAGACACCTGACACCTAATATTTATCGTAGAATGCGACCAAAGAACGAAATAAAAATTCGATTTCTCCAATCAGTTTATCGATTTTACACGATCTCGGAAATTTTAATACGGACGAGATATACATTGCATTCTACAAAGCACGCGAAAAGGAAGTGAAAAATGGTTTTGCTAATTCGGCAGGGAGAACGATAAATTCCAGCGCTAAGTCAAGGTCGTTAAAAGATACATCATTTGCACGTGATCTATAATCGCGCGATTTTACTTCGAATCGGTATTTTCGCGGAGCAATGCAAAGTGCACGAGAGAAGATGAAAAGAAATACTAAATGTTGCTGGGATAAATACATTGGCCCAGTACACCTTCTCGAAGTTTGCTGAGCCTCGGCAATGCTCAGGAAGCTACTAGGATTCATTGGGAGGATTATTGTTCCATGGAAAAAAACAAAACACTAGTGTGACGTTGATCGTTCTGCCGAATTGGCTTCCAGCCCATCGCTTGTGCCGCGAGCGTAGCTGTTACGCAAAAGTAAACACGAGTTAAGTGATCGGTTATGTGTCGCTTTTTAAGATACCGCAAGGTGATCTCTCAATTCAGCGTAATACTCCCGAATGTCACCTGGAATGTTCCAAACAGACTTCAACAACAACGAAGGACCAGACACGTCATTATCACGATTTTCAAGTCTGATTGTGAGTAATATTAAGAGGATGGACGTCAATTAACACTTGATCTTCAGTTGTAACGTTGCTCACCTTGATTATTCAAGAGTTTCTAGTAGTTTAAAAAAGTAACTAAACAGTTTTTTATGCAAGTCTCGATGTATACCTGAAAATATATTTTTCCTAAGGAATAGAGTGGAAAAAATAACGGAGCCTAAGGTGCAACATATTATACCATGTTGCTTATTCAACATGTCTTGAAAGATCAACTTTAATCGTGAATGTGCAGCTTACGATCTCTTTTATCGATTTTATATCTCCTCGAAAAATCAGTATATTCGAGTCAGTTTTAAAGACGGTTTTCTGCCATTCCAAATACAGTAAGCAGGGTTCGCATTGGGTGCGAATCTGGCCGAAAATAACGTAGCAATACGTCAATGAGTCGAGGAGCCTGTCAAAATAGAGCTGGACGCTCGGAGACCATAACAAAAACAGAAAGCAAAAAGTAGAGCAAAAAGTTTTTTACCAAAGAGAAGCGGAAAAGACTAGGGCGCTACACGCAATAGAAAAATTCTATTTCGAGACGAGACAACATTATATTTTTGGCTATTTCGTCACAACTGCGCTGACACGTATCGACGTATTCTGCGTGCTAGGAATGCGTCCGTTGAGCGTCGAGACGTCTCATGGAAAGTTCGGTATGTGAAATAAACGCGGCCTTCGTTTATAAACTAGACTGCTGCACGTTTGCGCCGCGAAATGCAAAACGGGATTCCTTAGATTGCGAGCGAAATATGCAAAGTAGGATTATTTGAACAGAGTAACGAGTGTTTCTCCTCAGCTGCTCTTTTCCTTCTTAACGGAGAAACTCATTGACTTCGGATATACGCGGGATAGCGAGTAAGGATCTTGAAAGAGGCACGCTTAATTTTTTTTTATTTTTATTCAGCAGGTCAAAACATTTGTCAGTTCCTATACGATTCGAAGGTCGTGGTGCTAAGCTATTTACAGACTTTATTGCGGATATGTTACAACACATCAATATTTATCTGAAGAATAGATCTGTAGAATATTGCCTGGAGAATTCGCACGGACCTTGATATTAGTGTTCTAAGAAAATGTCTCAATTTTTAGATAAACAGGAAACTCGAGTGCTCGTTTCAATGAAGATACGCTCAAAATTTAATACTCATTCTTATATGAAGCTCCCACGTGATTTTCTCAGTAATTGTTACTGCTCTGTTTACGTTTTATAATTTGTTGCGTCCTTTGTCAGAAGTTATTCGACTGTGAACATCCGACAGCATCCCTTAATGATCCCGAACGCATTGATGCGAGTACAGATGCGACAAGCTTTGCTCATATTGCGAAAATAAAAAAAAAATACGCAACACTCGGGGGAGAAACGTGAAGAACTGGTAGCTTAGAAAAAAATTAAACAATATACGGTAGTCTAGATATTCGCGAAATTATTTGATAGCATCGATTAGGTTTGAAACTTTGCATACAAGATCTCATAAAAAATTGTATACTCTAAGATAATTACAATTAAGGAACCAGGTATCAGAGTGCGTGCCCATTTTCTGTACATTATACTTTTATGTACGCGTCTACTTGCATGTAGAGCGTCAATAAATATTTGCCGGTGAGTCGTCCGCACAGGCTAAACTGAACGGAATGCATTTGGGACGTGAGCGCGTAAGAGCAGGACGAGTAAGTGTCAGGTGATAGGCTCTTTCTTTTGTCTCGAACGAAGTAAAGCCGAGAATGGACCAATCACATTTGAGCTTGTACTTCGGCCATCTTCGGCACGCCGTCGCAATGCACTTCCGCTTCCCATCGCGGCGGCGAATAGCGGAGGATACTCGCGACGTTTTCCCCGTTTCCGACGTCTCGTCGGAATTTTACCGAAGGAAATACGGCGTTAGAGGGAGGATTTTTGGCGAGCCACCGTCCTTCCGGTAAGTAACGAACGCATCAACACCGAGTAGTCGCTCCTCGTGCACGTAGGACGTCATTATGCTCCTAATAAAATACTAGAGCTCAATAGAGAATTCCGATGCCGGCTTCGCCCCCACGTTCACCGTTACACATATTGATTTCCAGAATCTTTCACCGCCTTCAATTATTCTCCCACTACGAGATCATTACTTTCCATGAAAATCTTCCGAACTTTAAGTAAAAATTTCATTTCCAGAATTGAAGGTTTTCCTGCTTTCGAAGTTTCAGCCTTTCGAAATGCTCTCTGCCTGGTCTGTGATTGGCATGACATTATACAAATTGAAATTGTCCAATACGCAATAATTATTTAAACGAATTGTTTTGATGGATCAATCTACTGTTAGTCACTTATAATTACTGAATGCCAACAAAATTCTGAAGTACATTTTATCTCAATGACTTGACATCTTCAAAAGTAAATGCGTAATCCATAGATTTCTTTATTTCATTCTAATTTTTTTTATTTCTGTCAATAGTGGTATTTTCCTACGGCTATTGAGCGGGATCAATTAATTTTTGTTTGCAACAACACAGTTTTAAAAATCAACAACAGTGTTCATGATAAACTTTTGTAACAACGAAGGATGCATTTCAATGCATAATATTCGTTTCTAGTCTGCCTTATTTCACAAATCGATCACTTTTCTCCATTAATTTATATTAGAATGTTTGAATTACGATGTAATTTACATTCATTAGTAGGCAATTAAATACAATTTGCAATTCTTTAATACCACTTGTCATTCGCAATGATTTCTGCGTGGTAAACGATTAATGATGTTTTGAATAATGAGTTACGACTAATCCGTTCGCGCGATTTTCATCCTAGGAACTTTTATTTATTGTCGTGGCTACCTTGACTTGCTGATCCCTAGGCCCAGTCGGTATTATGAGAAGGAGCCAGAAATTCCAAACTTAGCACAGCTCATGTCCGCAACAAACATTTAAACATTTTCGTATTGAACGCTCATTGAATGATTTGCACCTCACCATATTATCCTCATGCCCATTCTGCTGAATTTCCTCCATTAACTCAAAATAAAAACCAACTCAGAAACGATTTGCTCTCGAAGTATTAATATTACTGAAGCTCACTAAAACTTGCAAGAAGCACAGTACTCTGAGGAGAAAAGCGACTGATCCCAAGATGCAGAAGTATTCTTAGCTATTTCAAGCCCTGGCTCTATTTTTTCTTTCTTTGTTTCTTCAATGACTTGGTGCTTTCTGATACCAATACATAAAATACTAACAAACTTATCAAGTAAACTTGACACTCGTAGCAAAACTTGCATAGAAATATGATTTCATTTATAAATGCAAATAAACTGTTAACGATAAATTGAATCAAATTAAGATTGGCAGAAGGTACACTTAGCATAATTAGTAACGATATTACTGACATTCCTAAAACATATTAAAAAATATATACATATACACATAAGTAAAGCTTAATAACATAATTGGATATTTTGTTTCGTGATAATAAACACTTTAGAAACTTTAAAAACACGTGTATACGGAAGTCATACGTCAGACTTCTAGGCAGTAGTTGGATGAGCTTTTATCACGTGCACACAAATTGCTATTGATTTCATTAGACGTTGTTCAATCAACAATGACTATTTCGCAAAGTATCTAGCATTTGTTTTTTCAGCATTTGTCTTTAGGGCTTCGTGTCGCCTACTTCTACTAGTCACAAAAGTGCAACACTACGCTGCCGTTACAACATTGAAAAATTGACAAGTGTTTAGAATGGTGTAATCGCAAAGTTAATCACTTTTGTACCTACGTGAACCTGGCAGCCGACATAAAAATATTATAATTTTCAAAACCCAATTCGATTGTACCCCGTTTGTACCTGGTTGTACCACTTTAATTTTCGTTTGTACCTCAAAGAATTGAAAATTACAGGGGGGGTCAAAAAACCGCTAGCACCCAACTTGGAGTAATTTAAATTCTGTTTGCAGGGATGAATTTAGAATCGTTTGTACCCGTTTGTACCACCGTTAGTTTCGTTTGTACCCCAATGGGTAAGGAGATACAGGATTTCCAAAATTTACTAAGGGATGACTCCGCCATTTTTGAGCTGGCTCAAACCTGCGAAGGGGTGGTGGTTTAGAATCGTTTGTACCCGTTTGTATCACCGTTAGATTCGTTTGTACCCATTTGTACCACTGTTAGTTTCGTTTGTACCCCAGCGGGTAAGGAGATACAGGATTTTCAATATTGACTAATAGGTGACTGCCATTATTTGAGCTGTCTCAAATCTGCGAAGGGGTGCTAGTTTAGAATCGTTTGTACCCGTTTGTACCACCGTTAG